AAAAAAATCACTGACGATAACCGGAACATGACAGACACTTGATCGATTACATGCATGCATAAGCACAAGGATCAAAGTTAGATCGATATTATCTCAATGGATTTTAAATTTCCCATTTATCGAAGCAGCTTGGAAAAATATCGAGATCGTAATGCAACGTACGTTAAACTACTTCTTATCTCGTGGCCTTTAAGCGACAGTATCTCTTGCAGGACTACTCACACACAAAGACCGCAGTCTACCGAAACATTTCCTGCATGCTTAAATCTTACTCATTCCTGATAGTGATGTGACTAATTGCAATGATAATAATCGTAACATATAACACGGCCTCAAGTTTCTTCTTTTACGATTAGAGCGATGCTTTTCAATATTGCAAATGTGTCATAAACTTTGACCGTTGTGTTTCTTGTTAACTGTGCTAAAAAAAATTTTTGCCGTATTATTATGAGTAACGCGTAGACATTCAGCCAGTTTCTACATATTTATAGAATTCAATATTTTATTGCCATCGGAAATTCTCATTTTCATTCCCACGACGACGAGGTTATAAACGCAAACAAAGCAATTAAAGATGGAAATATTCTCGAGATTCCTTCTGCTTTACATACAATAGTTTGTTGGATTAGATATCTCGCCGAATATGCAGAAAGAATTATACATTGTCCCTTTTCGTCTGCCGCGTATGAATACCAAAATGATTAACGAAATTTAAACTCGCCATCTTGAAATTTATAATTCCGTGCTGGCGCCCGACTCTTTACGCCCACGCGTCGTTTTGCCCATAATGCAACTCGCACAAACACCGTCTGTCTTCCACTTTAGAAACTATTGGCCGTGCGTTGAATTGTTTCGTTCAACGACCTAAGCAAAGTTTCAAACTTTCCGTTCGAAAACCTTACAATTCACAACCATAATTAAAATATAAAAGATAAGTGATCTTCAAATCAATGTTAATTTTAATGCTGTATTTTTGCGTTTGTTTGCACAGGTAACAACACAAACACGTTCCTTTCTAATTAATGTAATTGTAACGACCTTGGCAATTTACATTCCTGCTGATGCTTCCAACGAAATCGGTTTCTCAGGTAAAAACAATGCCTTTGTTCCATTTTTCTATTAGTTGCTACATTGCCTTCCTTCTAGTTGTCAACCTTGACGAATACAAAAGAGGATAAATACCAAACTGCGATAAAGTAATTTCAACTTTGACTTCCTGCCTGGTTGCAACGAAACTCTGGCAACAGAAACTGTTACATCCTTTTGGAGAATGTTCGCTCGCTGTTTACCGAAGAATACAAAAATATCTGCATACAGTTGTTGGTATGAGAATCCGATTGATTGACATTATGCACGCGTATGTGGCACAAAAGTTGCATATAATCGCTTTGTTTGCGCAGCCATCGTGCCAAATTTATTAACAGGCATGTTTATTGGCACGCGACGTGTATCCTCCAGCGCATTTTATCTCGAACGTTTGCGGACAGCGCAAGCGGATCGAAATGCACGTGCGTTTTGCAAGAGGCAATGAGAGCGGCTATTGACTCATTTCGTGTAACTTCCACGGCTGTGCTCGAAACTTGCCAGCTGCGACCGAGAGCAGAGTCCAAACGTGCTCGATTCCTTGATCTCTCGTTGCATTGTTCGCAAATTGCCCGATCACATTTTCACCGAGTTAAGCCTTTCCTTCTTTGTTTCAGAAAATTCCGCGATGTCAGCGGTAACGTTATCTCAGGCGGCTCTCAGGCGTGCGACTGTAGGAGAAGAATATGCAACGTTTAACAAACAAATGCACGTATTGCGACGCGATTTCGCTTTTTCCGTATTTCGTCGCAAGAATAAAAATATCGATATTCTGTATGCAATTAAATCTCTGGAGATTATACTTGATTACCGATAATCGCAGAGCACGCGCATTATCGTATCGAAATTGATTAATAAGAAAAGTAAGAAAAACGCTAAGAATTATATAAAAAGTACGAGCGTTTACGTCAAGCAGAACGAACAGATAGAAAAATAAGAAATGCTACGAGCATAATATGTTGTTAAAGTCGATGGTTAGTAATCGTTATTATTAGTAACTACTAAAATAGCAGTCTTTTTATCCACATTATACATAAAGATAAGATAAGTAAGGAAACTTCAACTCTACTGTTTGCGTCAGTAAAAACTCGCTACGCTGATTTCTAAATGCGCATATGTTAATGTCAAAAACATTTCATATCTTGTACAACAGATGCGCTCTTCTCGTTTTTTTTTTTTTTTTTTTTTTTTTTTTTATACAAGGAAGATCGATGTGCGATTTGTTAACCTCGAACGCCACGAACAAGGGCTTAACCTACATTTGAAACGGAGGAGAATCAGGCAAAACAACAAGTCTCCGTGTATTCTTCGAGCACGTGTGATCGCACAGGATCGCTGCCGCGGCACCGATTTACAAAACGGCAATGACATTCCACGGCGTCGTAATTTTTCCAATCGGGTAACGTTTCAAATGTAGCCGCTAAGTCGAGGCCTTGGCTATAGGCAGAAGTTAGCTCAAGGACGACGACCGCCTGTCTATTCGAATTTCATCATGGTGTGTGAAGCTAAGCAGGTGAATGTCAGCCCCTTGCGCTTCATGCCCGTAATCAGACATATCTTTTTCGGTACGACACGAGGTGCTCGCTGGATAGATCTGGCGTGGTTAAAAATAACGATTATACAGAATGTTATTAGGAAATGTGAAAAACAAATATACTGGTAGATGGTATCTGGTGAAAATTTTCGACATTCCGTACCGCCTTGACGAAAACAGTTAGATTGCGGATATTGATGCAAAGGTGGTCTGTCATTTCGTATTTAATTTATATTCATGGTAAGTGTTTCAGTTTCATTAACGTAATTTAATGCAACAAAACGATATCAACAATTGAAAATTCAATAATTGTTTCCAGTTCTTTTATCCTGTCATATTGCTTCTGTGCATGATATACATTGCAAAAATATCGTATGTATACACCAGATGTTTGGATGCGAAAAAGGAATTATTCAAGAAAGCAATCTTCTTAATCTTGTCTGTGTGTGTTCACGCCATGGTGCAAAAGCCATAATAACAAGATAGAAAGCGGGATACTAGTAACCTAGCTTCCTTTTGTATCTTGGCCACTTGGTTACACAGGTGGCACCTGTATGCTTCAAAGTGGAGGAAACCACAGGTCGTGGAACGTCTGGCCATCCAGAGGGAGCAGGTTAACACACGAATATCCAACATATCAGATTGGTGAGTCATGCGTCTTGTTCGATATGTTCCGGCTACCCCGTTCACCGCCCACACGACCCTCTGTATGAGTCACCGACGATTCTTGGAAACGGAGCGCGCCACTCGTTTCAAATTTTCCTCGCCAAGTGACGCCACTGCAGGCTTCTTTGAAAACAGTGCCCAGAAAACCCAGCTTCTATATAAATTCTGGCATTCGATTGCTGTTACACTTATCCGTCCATTGTCGCCAACGACAGGGAACATGCGGCGAAATGACGGTGCAATAGTACCGCGAGTCAGTCACGGTTGAAATAATTGCAAAATGGTCATCGACTCGTACGAAAAGTAAGAGAATGAAAGTAATCCTTGATTTTAAAGTATGCGCATGATTTAAGTAATACTTGAATTATAATTAAGCTTATTGTTTTTTTATCTTTGAATATTGTTAGTTATTTAGCAATTAGTTAATACAAATAATACTTGATACTCCCTGATAAGTATATTTAAACTTGAATATTTTAATATAAAAAAATTTATTGTTTTAACTTCTAGCTAATTGGCACATACTCAAGTGGCCATTATTATTTCAATTCTTAGAACTGATTTTTTGAACAGCCTTTCTAATCGAATTATGCCCGTGAATAATCAACCAGATAACAAATTCATTCATAACCGGTTATATAGTAAAAGCTATGAACTAACGACAGTGGCCCGGGTAAATAGAACCTACTGGTGGCAAGAACAGCGCCAGCCCTGGTTCGATCGTCACGAACGTGGCGCGGCAAGCCTCGTGATTGGTTGCCTGGGAATAGCTAGTGACGTCATACATGTTCGTGGAGCCTTAGCAAGTAAAGAGAGTCGAGGTAGATCGTTGAGCTGAGGATTGAACGTGCGCGAACATCGAGGTATTCCCCCACGGTATGAGTCATCGGGCGCAGTTTCACACAGTTTCGGGCAAAGGAACCTGCGTTCCGTGTGTGCTGTTTCCAAGTTCTGCATAACGGAGGATCTCGAGCATCCTTACCGTCGGGAAAGAGGATAGAACATTTTATTAACAGAGGTTAACAAACCTATCGCGTTTCTGATTGTTAACTTTTCCTTTCGCGCCGAAGGGATTACGCGAAACTAGGTAAATCCCGTTGCGCCTCGACGACGCAAATATGAAGCTCGACGTATCGGATGTACTTTACGACAGCTCGAGCGTGTCCAGCGACAGTGGCACGTCACAGAGCTCTCGCGTCAGCCATGATTTTCTCTCCAGCATCGCGAACTCATCCATACTACCCAGCAACGTAAGTACCGGCCGAGTTTTTCTATCCTACATTGGTATAGAAAATGCCAGGCGTTCTCCGGCGAAAAGGCAGATTTCTCCGTGTAAATATGGCAACTTATGCAATCCTTAAGGTGCACGCATGTGCATGTGTTGCGCGTATGTGTGTGGCGTGTGTGCGCGCGCGCGCCGTACGTGCATCTGATAAACAGCGTTCACGTGATTGGTCGCGAATTTCTTTTTTTTTTCTTTGAAGTAAGTAGTCGAACATAAGTAAGAACGTAAAAAGTCTAGCCAAACGCTGTTACGTAACGCGAATAATTAAGCATTAGGTATTCAAAATAATTCAGCTCGTCGTCGATGATGGACTTGCTCGCATCTTCCAGAAACGCGATCGCGTGACCTGTCAAAACTTGATGATTTCGAAGACAATTAACACGTGTATTTCGCGCTCAAACATCGTTGATTTCGTGGAAGAAATTGAAAAGTAAACGGAACGCCTATTATCAGCGTGA